AGGGCCCCAGAGGTTGCCACTGAGCCAGTACCCATTCTGAGGTAGTCCTTTCTGAGAAGATCCAAGAGCCTGCTCTAAGAGGTACAGCTCCCACGTTATTAAACAAGTTCAACACCATGAAAATCAAATGTACCTAATAAACATATATTGCAAAGCATAAGTATTTCTCCTTATAAAGAGAAATTAAGTTTCCTATATGTCTTCAGTTACTCTGACCGTATGTATGCCTTTCTTCATCTGTAGAAAACCCAATCTTTCTTTATATTAAAAAGTACATTTTCTTGAGTTGTGGTGAAAGAAAAATTGTTTTGTTCAAGAGAGATTTGCTAACACTAAGAAAAACTTGGGAAGAATTCACATTTTTGACTAAAGTTGGTATTAATTTAAAAGATCTGTACCGCAAACTGGGGTCTGAGCTTCCCAGGTTGAGCAGCGCTATGTTCAGTAGTGTTCCAGGGACATCCTTAGGACGAATTTTAGTATGCTGTGGGATGGAGTCCGGTTGTGACAGCTCCCACCGTGTCCGTATATGAATGATGGACCTAACGATGGCTTCACACTCCTGATGCATGAAGGTGAGTGGTGTGCCTTGGTTGGCAATGGTTAGGGTAAACTGGTTCTCATCAACAAGACATATTTCCTCAATTTCAGAGGCATAGTATATATCATTTAAAAACACCGTTTGTCCCAGGACTCTTGTTCGTTCCGCTGACGTCACCTGCACAGCTGTTGACCCAACCTTAGAAAGAGAATAGAAAAATGGTTCAGCACCTGTTGTTAACAATACAAAGATAGAAAAGTCTGACACGCTTAATTTTATACAGATAAATGTATGAAATTTTGTACTTCCTAAAGAGGCATACTAATAAGTTGTGATTTCTCCTCAAGACAGGAAAGGAGAATTAAGAGACAGTAAAATCATATTCAAATCCTTATAAAAATACAACAATTCACTAGGAACAGCATTAAAAGGACTTACTTTAATAGAAACTTTGGTATCTTTATGAGCCAGTTTGAGAGCATTGTGAAATACTTTCAAGTCCTCCTCCAAAGCCAAGGTAGCTGCTGGGAGTTTCTGCTGGTCGTGTTCGATGTGCTCTGCCAGTTTCCCTGGAGAGTCTATGAAAATAAGCCTTTTGCTTCCTTTCAAACCTGTCAAGAGCCTTTCATGGTATTTGGTGTATTCTCTGACCCAAGAGTTACAGTTATAAATAAAAACTGCTGAGACATTTTCATAAGCAAAGCCTGGAAAAACTACAAACCATTTTGAAAGAAAGTCTGTTTTAAAGCGATTACTGGGGCCAGCGTGTGTGAGGTCCACTACAATTTCATATGGCTTTGCATAGTATGGCTTCAGAGTTAGTAGTACATGGTATATCAATAAATCTCCGTTGATCTGACCAGTCTTGAATCTGTAAGAAAACAAGACAGACATTGATGGGTTTGCATTTTAGATCCACATTACAAACATTTGAGTGGTGTATTACACATACTATTACTATACTAAACCAGACTGATCTTTCACATAGTTCTAAAAATACCATCAATCCAAAGCAATGACACTGGACTGGCAGCTACAGCCTAAAGGCATCTGTTACTACTCTGTCACGGCTCACACTCCAGCCAAGTTTAGTGCCCAGTCTGATGAAGCTTGACTTGGGATTTAACTTCATTTTGAAATGCCATGCAACCTACCACAGCCAAGCAACCTCCAGACAGACAGGAGGTTTATTCAACTAAAAGGAAAAATAAAATCCATGCTGGAGGGCAACAGTGCATCAACTGGATCAAAACTGGATTACATGAAAAGAGCTCAGTTTCTTTAAAAATGAAAGTAAAGTGTAAGTCCCTCAAACTGACTTTTTAACCCCCTTAGAGATTCAAATTATCTATTTTTATATGTGGGAAAAATACATTTATTTCAGAAGTCTTAATTAAGACTAATTAAGCATCCACATACCAACTTTTTCAAAGGGTCTCAAATTCATTTCATTTGCTATATACTGCAGCATACTCTAATGGTTGGTGGAGTGTTTCTAAGCGTTGTCAGTCCTCTGAGTACTACAGAGGATTTGTCTACAAAATAACTCTTTCCAGAAAAACATTCAGATAATACATAAATACTAAGAACTTTTTGATCTCGTTTAACAATTCTCTGAATTTTATAAGACTGGACAGCGATCTAGCTAAACAAAGTCTCCAGAGTTAGTATAGCAGGCAAAATTCTACCAGGAACAATGAATTAAAAATCAAACCCAACAGTAGCTAGTGAACATCTAAGGTACTTTTAAATACCTATCATTGTTTCAAGCTAGCATTAACTCAACTCTTCAAGGCAAACCAACAGGCTATGGAAAGAGCTAATAACACTGTAAGCACATATGTAGTTTTGAGTGTTTTGGGACACTGCTCTTGATAACATTTGAGGTAAACCACCTGAGCATAGGATAACCAAGGAGATAAATTTCATGAACGCAGAATATTTGGTCCTGCCGAAAATACTCTTTTTTCCCCTGTGTTACTTCCTGTTGTTCTGAGAGCTAATTTGGGCAAGTTGGTGTTTTTCCCCCTCTAACGTATCATGGTATAGTTGTTACCAAAAGGAAGTGTGTCATCTCTGTGGTTTTAGTTCTCCACTTAGAGTAAACGACATATAATTTCAGTTACAGATTTGCTTAAAAAACACCAGCATTGTCTAAATCTACTTGCTTTACGTTAATGGTCCTTTGCATCCTAAGAGCAAATATATGCACAAAGAAATTTTATTGTTAAAGGACTAAATATCTGAAATACCAAATTTCTTTTGACTACATCTTGGCAAGGTAAGTACACATTTTTCTTCTCCTATTTTAAGTTCCACTTCAAAGTTTCTTAGATTTTGTAGAAAATTATATGCAAAAGTATTTTTAAAGAAGTTCAAGTAACTCAAAAAGAGTAACAATCTGTAAAAATATTATCTCCTACTGCATTAAGGAAGCTGATATAACTATATTTTTAGTAATGTTAAAGGTTATTCATAATCAGACTCCAAAGAATTAACAGTGACAGTTGCTACTCAGCTCTGTTGTTCCTATGCATTGCAGATCTTACTGTGTACTGGTAGAAGACCTTATCAGTACCTAGGCACAAAGGGTTGAACTAAAAAGAGAAAACCAGCTCTTTAACGATCAGTTCCTTTGCTCTCATGATTTTAAGCGAAGCCCTTAACAACATCAGTTTGTTTATTTTTAAGAGAAGCACATCTGGTCTAGAACACTACAACTAACACTAGAATTATTGTACTCTTGGAGGGAGTAGGCAGAAAGAGAGTTGCAACTCCATTAAATGTTGGAGTATATCTATACCGGCAAACGCGTCTCAGTTCTGCATGTTGTTTTGTTTCAAAAAAAAAAACCCCAGCGCTTTGCTGTTTTTGCTTTTTTTCCTTTTCAAAGTATGCTACAAGGCATCCTCCAGGAAACCCTTACCATATAAAGATAAAAATTCTACCTGAGCTGTAGCTGATTACTAAAACAGTTTCTAGTTCAAACTTAACAATAAGAATTCCTCTCAGAATGGAGTGTAATTTTATGTTATGGGTGAACTGCAAAGTAAAAGATACATACATCTTTTGCTGCTCCTTTGTCATGTAAGGAGAGACACCCACAGTTTGGGCCCTGGTTGCATACCAGGCATATCACTTCCTTCATCTTCCTGGAGAACTTCAGCAATACGAAGGACTGCCATTTGGATTTTGCAAGATAGGCAAGTTCACCCCTCTGATTTTTGGGAGTGAATATATTAAGTTCTTTGGTAGGCATGCTAACTTTTGGCTATGATAAAAGTAAACATTGTCTGGAGTATTTCAAAATTACCTAATGTTACAAACATACAGATATGCTTTGTTACCTTTAAAGTAATAGCTTCAAGAACAAATGTATTTATAAAAATAGCACTGTTACTTTTGGTCATTCTCTATAGTTATTTATATTTGAACCAAATGTAGTCTGTAACATTCAAAGGAAACATTTTGTTCTTAGACATATCTTGTTAATAGAGACAGGTGAAAGCGAGGCACTGGATGGGATAATAGGCCTTCACGTCTGAATGTGTCTCACATGTGCAAACTGGATGAAGTAGCAGTGGTGGTTCACTGCTTGTCTGATTTATCACTATTATTTTGAGGTTATTATCTTAGTATCAGACTGACCTAAAGATCAGTTTCCTGCCCTCCAGACAAATTCAACAGGTACAAATTTGAATACCACACACATGTGAAACAGAACATACTAACAGTAATATCATTTGCATAATTATCTCAGGCATTTTAAAGAAAAAGTCCCAAGATGTAGCATGTTTGTGAGAAAAATTTGTGAGAAGTACATTTGTGATAAATAGCCCTTTGTACAATAAAGCAGAAAAATTAGCAAACAAAAATTTTCCTAGGCATTTATGAAATACTTCAGACAGCTGTGCTAAGAATCATGAACAATTAGAACAAGTCACTTACAGGAACATTTTAGGTTCAAGTTTTTCACTTGACCATCTTTACAAGCATGGTTAGATTTCCCACATTCAGGGGAATACAGGAAAGTAAGAAGCAGTCATTTGTAAACTTCATATGGGTTTCTCCTTTCACTGTGTACAAGCAGAAGTGATGAACGTAAAGTTGTAATACGGCCAGCTTTAAAGAGGAGGAAGTACCACAGGGTGTGCCTCTGCATCACTGAGTAGTTAGTAGGAAACACTTTCTCTCTTTGCTCCATGTTCTTTCTTAATCTTCATGTATTTTCTATAAACATTAAACTGCCAGATGTTCGAGACAACCTATTCTTTCAGAATACCAAGTACTTGAACTTGTCCTCCTACATCCCCTAAAAATGAGGTCAAGTTACATACTACTTTTCATCAAAAAGGCTGCTGCCTACTATTCCCCAAGAAGTCCGATTAAAACCTCTAGGAACTAGCATTTGCTAAACTAATACCATGATTTGTATTTTTGCAGGTGACTAAATAGGAAGATGAAGAGAAAGAGACACAGTAAACCACACTTCACCTTCCCTGTTGTGATAATCCTTTCTTTATGTTTGCAAACAAGTGCAAACAATACCCATTATCCTAGGGTTATAAATGAAACCTGGAATCCTATCAGCCAAAACCTAAGTGGAAGCCAGAACATAACAGAAGCCAATACAAATTCTCCTCTAAGCATTGATTTCAACAGCAAAACGACTACTTTCGAAATGCACGCAAGTACCCTGCAATCCTTATTCTCCACAATGGCCCAAAATTTAACATCTTCCCCTGCCAGAAGTGCTGTTTCTGCCGCTGGAGGACCTAGGAATACCAGCAAACCCAAGACTACAATGACAAAAGAAATATGTGAAGACAATAAGTCTCTTATACTGATTTGCTTCATTGTAATAGCAGTACTCGTGCTTATCTGCACCTTCTTATTTCTGTCGACAGTCGTAACAGCAAACAAAATGTCCTATCTCAAAAAAACTAAGCAAGGAAAACGTAGGCCCAGGAGCAATGGTGATATTCTGGCAACTAACAGTTTATGGCCAACTGCAGCAGGAACATGGCAGAGGATGCCTAAGGAGATAACTGGAACTGACTTGATAATGCAAGACTTAGTATCAGGGAGACATGCTGCGATCCAAAGGAAAATTGAAGATGAAACTACTGAGAAACTCACTAAGGACACAGATAATAAACAGGAAAACAAAGAACCATCAAAGTCACACAAACCCATTTTAACCAATTTTGTAGTTGAGATTTAATTCACACTCAGGTAAAAACTCATCTTTTACCTTTTTTGCGTCATTAATATAAGGCAAAAACTTAGCTTTCAAGTAACAACATGAATCTTAACACAGGAAAGCGAAATTCAGATCTTAGGGTTTTTCCTTTTATGATAGTGGGAATGCAGTAGCACCTTGTAGATCTAGAAGGGAGCAAGACTGTTAAATAGCTTTCTATAAATAGTGTTAAAACCAGTTTTACTCCTTTGACCAGAAATCATGGTGATAGGAGCTGAACAGGATAAAACGAAAGGACAGAAGTGTGCCCATTCTCAAAGACCATTCGGGGGAAAAAAAGGAAAGGACTGTTAGTCTAGTAAATACACCATACCATAAGGTGCCACGTAGGTATAACCATAATTCAGTCACAACTTTGATGCAATTACTGAATCAGGAACTAGTCCCTCTCAAAATGCCCTTTCAGGTTTTTCTATCAAGAACTTCTTAAACCAGTTTAATTGCTTTTGAACCAGATTGAGATTTATGTCATATTTATTGTGTTTTGACTTTGTGTATAAATATATGAAGTTTGTATTATATGTTAGAATATGAGAACTGTTTCAATTTGTTATCTCCAATAAACTAGCAACATCAGTTTTCAAATGACTTATGTGACACTATTTCTCTAAGTCAAAATATTACTAAAAATATTACACAAGGCATTTTGGAATATTATATTCCTATAACATTTACTGAACGTCAGTAAAGGTCTTCTCTGATGACTAGCTGTGATTTCTTGCATCACAGAAACACACTCCACTTTGTCCTAATATAAGCAATTAGAACATGCCAAAAATTTCTTCAAAACCACCACAACTTTTAGTTTCTTTATTCTCATAGAGACCTGGTTTTCCCATATTTCTGGGGAGATGTCTGTGTCTGGTCTCACTACAGCAGAGCTTTGTTGTTTTAAGGAAACATGAGAAGCTTTTCACAGGCTACTTCTTGGGTTAAAGATCTGTTGCACCATGGTTACAAGTGCTAAAACTGCATAATGACAAAGCTCTAAACAACCTGTGCATCTGTAATAAACATTTTTGACACAAGAGATGGTTGTATGAGTTTGAAAGAATCAGGACATAAGACTGAATCCCCAATTCACCTTCCATTACATCATAAATTTATCTGAAAGGGCAGGTAAAGAAGCAACTGAGAAGCAAGACGACAGTACCATGGAAGCCAAGAGAGCACAAGATCTCAAAAAAATGCAACAGCTTGTGTGAAAGGTGGTTTGTGTAATAAGGAAGATAAAGTTGGAAGGAGTTTGCAAGCTTGGCCCAGAACTGGGAGTCATCAGAAAATAAGTTCATTGGAGATGGGAAAAAACCCCCACCCAACTACAGGCAAATTCCAATGAATCTGCCATAAGCCATATATTCAGGCCTTAGAGCTCAAAGGGAGGAGGCGCAACACAACACACAAGTAGAATGGGAGGACAGGGGATTATGTCAGGCATTTCTAAAACACGAGGAGAGAGGCCAGAAGAATAAGGGCAAACTGTGACAGATTGGTGATGACAGCCTAGTACTTAGACGAGATGAACTGAGAACATCTCACACTGGTGACAGCAAGAGAGCTAATGGGCAGGGTCGGAGCATGCTGTGTTGCAGCTACCTTCTCCTTCCCCAAAATGACCATGAGCACATGAGGCAACAGCAGAGGCTGTGCAACTACTAAAAAAAGAATCTGAGATAGCAAACGTGGGAATCTAACCTGGTGTAAAACTGCTCGCAGCTAGGAAGGCAACAGAACTAAACCAGGAGAATGAATCTGTAAGAGAGTTAGCCCGCCTGCGTACAGGAAGACAGTAAGTTGTTAGTAGGCAGCAGATTAAAGGGGTAAACCAGCAGTGTCATGAAAAAAGCAAGCAAAAAAGGAAAGAATCACAATCATATCAGTGGAAGGAAAAACAGGAAGGAAAAAGAACTGTCAATGAGGTAGGAACTGTGGCAAAAAACAGGTGGAGACTTATGAGGGTTGAAGAAAATGGGGATGAGATGAAGGAATCAGACAAGAAACTATGAGTTACAATGTGAGTTTGGGATCAGGATTTGTGTTTGCTGCAGGAGTAGGGAGAGTCTGAAAAAGAGAACTAGTGCAATCAGAAGAGAGGCACAACAGGAAAAGCAGGAGGAGATGAAGAAGCTGCAGAAGAATCTGGCAGTAGCTACTTGGCATTGGCAGAACAAGCTTGCAAAATACCACGAGGACATATATGTGCGGGTTTCTTTTTGCCAGGCAGCCTTTCTAGGCAAAAATGCTCAAGGAGACCAAAGAAAGTAGTTTGGGTTACACTAAATGGTATGGACAAAGACAGACAGTGGGAAAACAGCTGCTCAGAGAGTACAGCCCCCCATTAATGATGGCAGCAGGTACCAAAGCTGTCCAGACACAAAAATAACATGGAAAGTAAGGAGCAGGAGCAGGGCGAAATCTGTAGTTATCTGCCTTTTAATGCAACTACACAAATGAAGATGCGTGAGCAAGCCAGCATCCTCTGATCAGATAGCTTTCTATGACTCATGGTAATGAACCTAAGGTTGCTTTTCCAGTAATAATCATGACAGCACACCAAATGCAACTCTCAAAATTCAGTCAGTAAGATTGAAATCCAATCCAAACTTGTATAATTTTTCACTCACACACAAGCAACTATAACTATTTTCAACAGAGACAGGCAAACAAGTATTAATGAATTTCCACATAATAGGCACATAACAGACAAAAGCCACAAACATTTAAATATTTGAGTTTTATAAAAACAGAGCCGAAAAGTTTGCTCGTAAAGCATGCAAACTCTGAGATAAGGCTCTTAGTAATCTCCCTACACTTGAAACTTCCTGCAGCAAGTGTTGGTAAACTTCCTCTTTAGCTGCAGAACCTACTTCAACATGAAACGAGCCATTTTAAGCTGCTTGACTTTCAGCACACAGTCTGTCTTGCTAATGCTTCAAACAAAAAAGCAAGACGATGCTTGCCTGATAGAAGATCGATGTGCAGGTAAGAATCAACTTCAAGATGGAAAGGCTTAATATTTATATTATTTGGTTTGAAATGGAACTGCACTGTGTACAGCACTGCGTACGTCCCCACTTCAGGGTGTATTCAAAGCTCTTGTTCACTGCCTGTATCTTAAAAGTATTAGGGATTCAAACACATGTTGTTTGATGTTGTTACTATGAACTATCATGAACTCTACATCTAAGTATTATTTGACTGTATTTTGAAAAGAGGGGAGCAGAAGAAAATTAAACTGAATAATTTTTACCTGTTAGAAACCTAACAGAGTTTAGATCATAATGTTCTCAAGAAGCATTAATTTACTACTCATAGGTGTTTACACTTTTGCATCTGAAATTTAATTTTGCATATTTGTAAACCCACAAATATTTATGCACATCAATTTCCCAGGAACAGCTTCACATGACTAGCATTATAGTAACTAATAAATTAGCTCAAATTGCATGAAAGTAGCTTCAGATATAAAAACGCTATGTAGTGGATGTATTTTATGATTTGTTTCATATGGAGACACTCAGAGACCTGAAATTTAAATTGGGGGGGATCCGTTTCATGCCAACAACTTAACATTAACACAATCTTCTTCATTACAAAAAGTGTTCCACATGCAGGAATTTATTTCTAAAAACAATTTAACATTAGAATACTGTTCCATTACAGCATCAGTATTTGGAAACTTCTTAAAAATTATTACGCTCTACCTCTACCCTTAACTGCTCAAGAGAGGCAAGAACAGGAAATAAAAGTTTAAGAGAACTGTAAAGGTCTCGGCTTGTATCCATAAAAACAAGACAATTTTCTTTACTTGTGACAATCCTGTTTGTCAATACTGCGAGTGTTTCATATTTTGTTCCAGATCCATAACCATTTACATGATTGATAAATGTTATTTTGAAACACTCTTAGGACTTCTCTGCTGGTGCCTTTTTCTGATAAGGTGAAAGACGGTAATAATAACCAAGACATTCTCTTCAAAGTCACTTAATTAGAATGTTAAATAATGTTGAAAATCTGCCTGTTGTTTGTAAAGTCAACGACAAACCTGATGATTATGCAAATGGGAACAGACACGAAATTTTAAACAGAGTCTAATATTATTTTCACTATTATCAACATAAAATTGTCTGGTGCCAGTAAAGTGTAACTATACAACAAACGCA